GCGGCATGTGGGATCTTCCCTGACCGGGGCACAAACCCGTGTCCCCTGCATCGGCAGGCGGACTCTCAACCACTGCGCCACCAGGGGAGCCCTGCTTTCTTTTTTAAATGTTATGTTCAACCTTTATACATTGTAATTGAATTATTTCTCTTGGCTTTAAATTAAGAGGCTCAGAGCTCCTTTTGAGATATCTGCCCCAGATAACATTTCTTTAAGTCAGCATGTGTTTAACCGAACTTAGGGCAGGCTGGGTAAAAATCTTGGAATAAACTGATTTTCATGATCTGAGTTGTCTGCTGGTATCTAAAAGCTGATCAGGGATTCTTGGATGTCTTCTCAGAGTCCTCACGCCTTCTGAAGTGTTGTGCTAAAGTGCATGTGTGTATATGTGTATTTTTCCTGAGAGTGTGCTCCCAGCTATCATAACCTTAATTGAACTTATGGGGGATTCTAAAAAGTTAAGAGCGTCTCACGTAGCATATAAATGCCAGTACTGGCATTTGTCTGGTTCTTTTGGCCATAGTGTTTATACAACTGGGCAGATGTTAAAAATGAGCAGTTGATGTTCAGTGTTTGGCACAGCTCCTCTGCGGGGAAAGGTGCGATTGTATAGAGGGACGATCCCCCTGCTTACTTACACCCCCTCTCCCCCCGCAGTTCATGTCACTTGGGTCCCTGTGGCCTTTGTCTGGCTCTTCTGGTCCTCAGTCTGTGGTGCCCATCTCTAGGCCACGGCAGCTACAGCTCATAGTTCTGGTGGCAGTGCTGAGCCCTCCCCTGATCCAGCCTACCGTCCTCTGTTAACTGGGTCTGCTTGTAACTCTTGTTCCTTTCTATGCGTGGCTGTCACTCTTCATGCTTGTCGTCTCTAAGGCCGTGAGTTTTGATCAGCACCCCGGCCTCCCCTCCAGTTTGTTCCTTCCAATTCCTCCTTGGACTGGGAGACCCTCTAGCCTGGCTCGTTGGGATTATGTGTTGACTGAGGCGATGAGTGAGGACCCAAGGGGCTCAGCAGTGGAGTGAAGTACTTGGGCTTTGTAACAGCTGTCCTTGATATTCGGTGGTCGGTCTCCTTTTCTGTGTCCTTTGAAATTGAGCTCTGGAGGCTCGATGGGGCTGGCTTATGATCCTGTGTAAGTGAAAGCATATACAAGGAAACTCTTAATTTTCTTGGAATTGTCACAGATTCAGCTCTTCTAAGTAAGTGATTTCCTTCCTGATGACTGACGTTTTACTCTTTATACCTCAGTTAAAATAGATTTGGGGACATTTCTAAAACAAATGTAAAACAATGTAAGAAGAAAGCTTCAAACTTCAGATATTCTGTGGCTTGCAGCCTAAGTCTCGTGCATCAGGTGACTGTTTCATGTGACATGGCTGGTACCCATTTCTGTTGGTCGTTAGGCTGCCCCCAGCGATGAAGCTGTGGTGACGCTGCTGTGCGAATGGGCCGTGAGCTGTAAGAGATCAGGCAAGCACAGGGCCATGGCTGTGGCAAAGCTCTTGGAGAAGAGGCAAGCGGAGATCGAGGCAGAGGTAGGTTGGGTTTTCCTTCTCCTTGTCGATGCCATTGTTTAAAAATACTGCTTTGGGCAGGATTCTGTTTCTTACTCTCATTATGCTTTTTTTTTTTTTTTTTTTTCCCTTTTGAAGGGAAAAGGAAGAATATACAAATTCACATAAGGACTCCATAGTAGGATCCCTCTAAGTCGATGAAGCCAATAATCTGGACTACTTTAAAATAAAACTTCAATATCTGATTTACAATGGAAATCTCCCTTTGTGAGGTTAAGGCACACACACATACATAGGTGTCTGTGCACTTTGTATTATATACATCTGTGTATATGTACACATGGGTAGTGGATCTAGAAAGACTTTCTTGAGGCAGTCCTGGCTGTGAGGTTACAGATGCCAATTTGTATTCGTTTTTGAGATTGTGTTCTGGCCCCAGGAGAGAGCAATTAAAGCCTCTGGAGTAGATTAGAAGGGAACAAGCAAAGCTAACCTCGTCAGCATTAGCTTTGTTGAAGGAAAGCTCCCAAGTGAGCCTTCCTTTCTGCCTGTGGGGCCTGGCTGGGGAAGCTCTGGAGAAGGCATGTGTGTGATCTGACCAGCCTTGTCACCTCTCCCCTGGACAGCTGTGACCGCAGGGCCTCCTGCCTAGTGTCACCCTCCCTCCCTCCCTCCCTCCCGTGTTCCCCACCATCCTCCCCCCAGCAGCCAGAGACGCCTTTTCAAAATGGACAGAGATCACATTGTCCCCTTCCTGAAACTCCCAGCGGTTCCTTCCCGTGACCCACAGAGCCTCACAGGAGCCTCGCACCTGCCCTTCCCACCTCCTCCGGGACCTCCCCGCGCTGGGTGGCACACAGCCCCAGCTGCTCTGGTCTTCATTGTCCTCACACGCACCATGCCCGTGTTTCTCTTGGGGCCTTTGCTCTTTTTTTTTTTTTTTTTTTTTTTTTGCGGTACGCGGGCCTCTCACTGTTGTGGCCTCTCCCGTTGCGGAGCACAGGCTCAGGACGCGCAGGCTCAGCGGCCGTGGCTCACGGGCCCAGCCGCTCCGCGGCATGCGGGATCCTCCCGGACCGGGGCACGAACCCGCGTCCCCCGCATCGGCAGGCGGACTCTCAACCATTGCGCCACCCGGGAAGCCCGGGGCCTTTGCTCTTGCTGTTCCTCCCGGGTGGCACGCTCGGTGCCCTGCTCTTTACACGGCCGTTCCTGTTTCCGGAGGTGTCGCTTCCTGTCTAGCATTCCTGGCTCAACATGTGTCACCTCCTCAGGAAGCTCCTCCATCCCCACCTTAGGTACAGGTAATGGCACCCACCCCTCGGCCCCTCGTTCTCAGGCGGCTCTGTTTTACTTTCCTCATTGGCTTCTCAGTTCATGCCTGGTGCCTCCTTATTGCCTTCTTATTTAACGCCTATGAGAGTAAGCTTGACAACAGAGGCCTTGCTCACCCTGTTCAGGGTTGTGTTACTGATAATACACCTGCTTCCTATGACAGTATTAAAAAATGAAATAGGAAGAATATTTTCATAGACATCTCCTTCTGTTGGGAAAGCACTGTTCTCCAAATACAAAAGGCCATGTCGTTGAAATTGGGGCTTAAGGATATTGATGCTAAGGTGTAAACCACATGGCCCCTTTTACAATGGCCAAATTAGGAAAAGCGTTTCATTGCTTTTTTCCTACGTCTTTATGACTAGAATATATTCTACAGCGAATTGCAATGATTAAACTTCAGTAAATAAAGTTGAATTCCTCAAATTTCATTGCTCCTTCTGGATTGTTTTTATTGTGTCTTCCCCTCCCTGCTTGTGTATCCCAGAACACCGCCCACACCCCCACCACTCACATGCACAGTCACACACACACGCACTCACACACACTCATACTAACGCACTCACACACACACACACACACACACACTCACACTCAGAAGAGGTTCACATATAGATGACAGTAATTTTAATATGTATAAATGTATTCATAGCTAAAAATGTATACTCTCTGAAATGTTTAAGATAATTGATTTCTATTAGTCAATTTTCAAAATTTGACCTTTATAAAGAGAGGATGGATTGAATAAATGATATCTAAATATAATATTTTAATATTAAAATAGATAATGAAAATGGGAAGAATCAAAGGAATATCAAAAAGAATAGAAAATGCGGTTCTGATTGCTTCTAAACTGTTTCTTTACCGGTCTTCCAACAAGTCCTGACCTTAAGAATGTAGAAGTTAAACAGCTTCTCTAGATGTGTTTCATGAACTGTGGAGATTCCAGGAGGTTCTGAGAGAGCTTCTTGGTGAAGTGTGATGAGTGAAACAGTCTTATTAGAAGAATAATGTTAGTTTTCTCATTTGATACCACACCTCCCCACCATACTCATAAATTCACTGCCTGACAAAAACAAACACAAAAGAATCAAACGCAACAATACATGCCCAAATATTTCTCGGAGGGAATACCATTAAACATGAACTATTTAAAAATGAAGACAACCTCAAATTATTTTTAGCAGTTTTGCATAGGGGTAATGAGTAGTTTATTGTACAGCGGATTTGCATGCCGTGCTGTGCAGAGTATATAATTCACGTGAATCATGTTTTTCACAGGGGTTCTTTGAAATCATTTAAATTGTTCGGGGGCAGTTTCCCTCAACTTTTAGAAATTATATTCACTTACGATGCATGGCCCTCAAATAAATACAGAAATCTCAATGAATTTCGCCTGTTTTATCCAAGAACATAAATGTTAATTAAAAACACATTTCAAACTTGTCCTCTATAATTAACTTTGCCTGTTTATTTTTAATCTTAGAGATGTGGTGAATCAGAGGTCTTAGATGAGAAGGAGTCCATTTCTTCAGCCTCTCTTGCTGGATCTAGTTTGCCTGTTTTCCAGAATGTTCTGCTAAGGTTTTTAGATACACAGGCCCCCTCGTTGTGTAAGTAAAGCTCTTTGCTTTTAGATCTTAAACAAGGGGATTGACCTTTTTTGGAATTGATCAGAAAGGGGAGAAAACCCTCCCCCCTCCCTTATCTGTAATCTTATCAAAAGTTCTTTGTACTGAATATAATGCGTATTTTATCATGCAAAATTTTGTAGCCTATTTTCAATGGAGAATTTTATGCGATTTTAGAATCAGGCAATCTTGAAAGACTTAAAAATTTCCAGAGTTTTAATAGTTAAAACAGTAAGTCAGCTCATTCCCTTGTGTTTGGTGGACTAATTTTCCCTTTCTAGATCTTTCTTACCAAAAGAGAGGAGCTAAGGTCTTGTGATGTTTATTATATATATATTGTGATTATGAACTTTCTCTTTTTGCACTGTTTTCTAAATTCCTGATTTTCTAACTTCTGACATTAAAAGGGGGAAAAAAATAAAACAAAAGTACCTTATAAGCAGGTCTCTGATACAAGGTTTGTAAAGCTGGTTGGCTGCTTGCCTACACTCTCTCAGATGTTCATGTCCCATCATGTTCTTTTTGTGTCTTTATTCCATTGTTGGTGGGGACAGGGGGATTTGGGGAATAAACAACCACCCAGTGGGTTCATACTGTAGGTGGAGACTTCAAAGAAATCATTTGTGTGGGCTAAGTGGGCTTGACCTTCTTCTGAGGTTTTCATCTGACAAAGGACAGCAGGGAGGGTCTCAGGATAGATGGTGATGGAAAAACAGAAAAATGGCAAAAAGTGACAAATGATAAGAGAGAAAAGAATGGAAGGTAGAGAAGGGAGCCATCTGTGGAGAAGAGGTAAAGCAGCAAGAAACAGCACTGCTTCCTATTCCTCTGAGGAGTGCCTCGTTTAGGGTTGAGTGACACCTGGGGGTGAGGTTCTTTTAGTTACTTGGTGGCTGCTCTAGGCTAGAGGGAGGACAAGAGCCCCAGCTAAGCTGGTGGTCGGAACGTAGGGAGCAGTGATGAAGCCTGGAGAAGGGAGCAGAGAAACGAAAGGACAGGAGAGATTCCGGAGAGGAGAAAATACGTTGTCAGGGATGGAAGTCAGCAGCTCTGACTTACCTCGTGTCCTGGGGGAGACAGACATTTGCCCTTCGCTCCGCTCATCGTGTCCCCGTTCCTGTTGCCAAAGAAATTTGGGAAGAACTTCCTCCTCCTATGCTTTGCTTGCTCTGGATCCCACTTACTGCTCTGTCAGAGAAAGCTCTTCTGCTTCTCTGAATCGAGCTTGCCCGTCATTGGCTTTGGAGATGGGCGAGAGCATACACTTAGGCTTAAGGTTTAGGGCACTGAATGTAGTATTCCCTGGATCCAGCTGTTGTCTTTATTGGTGTTTGTGAATGTGATGGTACCAGGGACTGAGATTTGTAGGTTTAGTCTCAGTACTTCAGTCATTTTTTAACCTTCTCTCAAAGGTGCAGATACAGAGTTTTACAGCTGCGATATTAAAAGTCATAATGTGAGTGAAATAGACGGGCTATGAATTTAAAAAGGTGGCACAGCTCCATCTTGGGGCCCTTTTTATTTTGTTATCCCTTTTTCTTTTCAGTGGATCCCACTCGTTAGTTTTTTCCAGTACCACCTGAATTATGGTTCTATCGTGAAGTCTCCTTTGAAAAAGTGCAAACCACTCTCCCCCAAAACACGGATGCACTCTAGGTAGAACAAACAGTCATGAGTCATGAATTATGAGCAGTTATAATAGTAAAACCAGAGGAAAGCAGTCTAGCCCTGCTTTTTTTTTTTTTCTTACCTGAAATTTTGTGTGTTTGTATGATTACTTAAATCATCGTTCATTTGCCAGGGACCACTACCTTTAATCTAGAAATGGTGCTCAGAACACTGGATACTATTGATATTTTTCAGTTACAGTGGGACAATCAAAACTGGTGTGCCACAGGAAAGGAAACCATAAACAAGACGAAAAGACAGCCCTCAGAATGGGAGAAGATATTTGCAGACGAAACAACTGACAAAGGATTAATCCCCCAAATATACAAGCAGCTCATGCAGCTCAATATCAAAGAAACAAACAACCTAATCCAAAAATGGGCAGAAACCTAAACAGACATTTCTCCAAAGAAGATATACAGATTGCCAACAAACGCATGAAAGAATGCTCAACATCATTAATCATTAGAGAAATGCAAATCAAAACTACAATGAGATATCATCTCACACCAGTCAGAATGGCCATCATCAAAAAATCTAGAAACATTCGGGCTTCCCTGGTGGCGCAGTGGTTGAGAGTCCGCCTGCCGATGCAGGGGACACGGGTTCGTGCCCCGATCCGAGAAGATCCCACTTGCCGCGGAGCGGCTGCACCCGTGAGCCATGGCCGCTAAGCCCGCGAGTCTGGAGCCTGTGCTCCGCAACGGGAGAGGCCACAACAGTGAGAGGTCTGCGTACCGCAAAAAAAAAAAAAAAAAAAAAAAATCTAGAAACATTAAATGCTGGAGAGGGTGTGGAGAAAAGGGAACCAACCCTCTTGCACTGTTGGTGGGAATGTAAATTGATACAGCCACTACGGAGAACAATATGGAGGTTCCTTAAAAAACTAAAAGTAGAACTACCATATGACCCAGCAATCCCACTACTGGGCATATACCCTGAGAAAACCATAATTCAAAAAGAGTCATGTACCAAAATGTTCATTGCAGCTCTATTTACAATAGCCAGGACATGGAAGCAACCTAAGTGTCCATCGACAGATGAATGGATAAAGAAATGTGGCACACATATACAATGGAATATTACTCAGCCATAAAAAGAAACGAAATTGAGTTATTTGTAGTGAGGTGGATGGACCTAGAGTCTGTCATACAGAGTGAAGTAAGTCAGAAAGAGAAAGACAAATACCGTATGCTAACACATATATATGGAATCTTAAAAAAGAAAAAAAAGGTTCTGAAGAACCTAGGGGCAGGACAGGAATAAAGACGCAGACGTAGAGAATGGACTTGAGGACACAGGGAGGGGGAAGGGTAAGCTGGGACGAAGTGAGAGAGTAGTAGCATGGACATATATACACCACCAAACGTCAAATAGATGTTAGTGGGAAGCAGCCGCATAGCACAGGGAGATCAGCTCAGTGCTTTGTGTCCACCTATAGGGGTGGGGTAGGGAGGGTGGGAGGGAGGTTCAAGAGGGAGGGGATATGGGGATATACATATATACGTAGAGCTGATTCTCTTTGTTATACAGCAGCAACTAACACAACAATGTAAAGCGATTATACTCCAATAAAGATGTTAAAAAAAATAAAACAATAAAAATTTAAAACAAAACAAACAAAAAACCTGGTGTGCCAGTTCTGTGCAAAACGCTAGAGCCTCATAATTTTCCAATAAATCCCTTATTTTGTTAAAAGAAAAATAAAAGATAGTGAAAATATTGTTAAAATTAGTCATTGTTTTTTTTTGGGTTTTTTTCCCCTACCCAGTTGAGGAAACTGATTCTTGATTGAATTTGTTTCTTTACAGCGGATCCAAACAGTGAATGTGAGAAGGTGGAATTTGTGAACCTGGTGCTGCTCTTCTGTGAGTTCATCCGGCACGACGTCTTCTCCCATGACGCCTACATGTGCACCCTCATCTCTCGAGGAGACCTGTCCATCACCGCCTCCACTCGGCCCCGGTCGCCAGCAGGAGAGAATGCAGACGAGCACTATGCAAAGGACCATGACGTGAAGATGGAGGTATGGCCCTGGGAGGGGTGTTCCACCCCCAGAAACCAGACTCTGCTGGGGAACGGCTGTCAGAGGGATTGTGTGGTGGTGGAAGGGCGATCGTTTCCAGTTGTACTCTTCTTGCTTCAAAGCTCATTTATCTCTGCTCCTCACTCACACACAAAAAATTTGGACTGTAGTTTATATCTCCTAGAATTTTCTTTTGGCTATGCTAAAACTAGTAATGAAAAGATTTGACAGGCTATCACATTTTTCATTGGATTGGAATTATATTCTTCCAATTTTACGTATTTCTAATCTCCAGTTTTCCTTTAATGTGGAGCCTCAAAATTGGACTTGTTTTGGTCCTAAAATCCTGTCTGTTTTCATTCTGAGGAGCATCTTTTCTCCAATGTATCATTCGTTACTTATATCACTCTTTTATGCGTACGTTTTTGTCATAACACATCGTATTTTCATTTCAATGAATTAAAAATTTAACCTCTCTCAAATGTTGCAGAATTGCTCTTTTTAACAAATTACTTTATACTGTATGACTTTATAATTTTCTGCCAATTTCTTGTATTTTGGACATTGTTCCAGATACTTATGGAAATTTTCAAGGCAAAAAAAACATGAAGTTGGTGATGGGAAATAGTAGAAAATGGTGAGAGATTGTGACAGTTTTTTAAAAATAAAGCCTCATATTGGATCTGAGAGAGTTTAAGCATATACTATGATGATATTTTAAAAATAGTGGCTATCCTTGTAATTTAAAAACCTGCCATTAAAATTGCACACGTGAATTTGTAGTTTGTACTCTTAAGATTTTTAAAAATTATTTCTTTAATGTAAATACTTTTGTTTCTAAATTTGTCCACAGTAGAAGTTAAAAAGAGTAAAAAATAAAGTTACCTGTTTATGCTTTTTCTATGTTTCTGTTTTCTCTTTTCTCTTTTTGGACATCAAAGTATCTTATTATCTTAAATATACTCTTAGATTTTTCTTACTAAGGCAAGTTGGTGAGCGTGTGACTAGGAATACCCCCAAGAAGGAAATTATGGCCAGTTTGTTTTTAATCAGGAAGTTTGTGTCCTTTTTCCCTTAAAATATCACGGAAGTTAAATCTTTTTCATCATGAGGACAAATAATGTGACTTTGTAAAGCAATGGGTGTCTTAACTTCCTTTTCTTTTTATGGAGAAAAAAAGACACTAGGGGGAAAAGGGACATAAGATGGTTTAAAATGTCACTGTCGTGTTTTAGCTCCACAGCTTCTTTATGAACTACAGAGTTTACAACGTGACTTTCTTTCTCTGACAATTATTAGGAACAGACTATTATGGCGCATATGGGCATTGACTCAGGAACTACTAATATTTTTGATGAAGTAGACAAGAGTGACTTTAAAACTGACTTTGGTTCGGAATTTCCAGTAGGTTCAACCTTCAAATTCTTATTGACCATTAACCACTCCTCCCCACCTCTGCCCCAACTGTCTCTGTCCTTCTGCCCCTTGCCCTGTGCGTTGGAATGAACTATGTACTTGTGACGTGAATGTCGTCCTCTCGCATTCCACCCGAGCCCTCAGTTAATCATCTCATGCAGTTATCTCATTTCAGCTCATCCTCAGTTTTGGCTGCCTTGCCTCCTTTTGTACATTCTAACAGTCCCATCCTCCTGGTTGACTGTGACTCCTTTGTTCATTTAGAGGTCATTATCTCAGGAATACATGAATGTCGTTTCCTCAGGACAGCCCATGTTGATTTGCTGAATGTGTGTTCAGCTTCTCAATAACAGCTTTCCTGGCTCTGGACTTGTTATACATTCTTCTGCTTTATCTCGGTATAATTACAACGTGTTCTTCCTCAGGGATCTCAATGTGTAACTAACTCTTTATGAAAACACATGTTGCTTGGGGTACAGACTAAAACCTTTAGATCTGTTGTTCATGAGCTTTATTAGTGAATTGTTTCTGTGTATATGTTTTTCTAGGAAATGTAACCCTATGAGGAGAACACTTACCTATAAGTCTGATTTTATCTCTGGTCCTCCAGGAAATGTAGCTGTGCACATTTCTTACGTGTGTGGTTGTCATTGTCTCATCTTCAGGATGGGGGATGATGCTAATGATCTGAATATAAACTTGTGCAAATTAACACAGTCTATTATTTTGCTCATTGGTTAAATAAGGAAAGGATATGGTGTGAGTGTCTTGTGGGTTTGAAGTTCTGTGTTTTAGTTTTGCTCTCTTTCATTTACAATCTCCAACATTTGTTTTACATGACTTAGATTTTTTCTCCCGTGCCTGGAGAGTCCTGTGAGAATGCTAACCCTTCCCTGGGCAGAAGAATGTCAGTTAACGGTGAGAAGCTGTTGAAGAGAGAAAAACCAAGGGAGTTAATTTTTCCATCTAATTATGACCTCCTACGACATCTGCAGTATGCAACCCATTTTCCCATACCTCTGGTAAGTCACAGCTTGTCAGTTGGCAACCTGATTATTTCACTGCAGGGTCATTGACCATTGATTATTCAACTGCTTGCCTGTGTACTACGTACGATAGCAGGTGAGTTTTTGCCTTCACTACTTCTTTTGTTATTGATTCTCGTCATGTAGCTTATGTGCTCATGTAGTCCAAGTTAGTGGTGTGATACTACTACTGGCTGGCTAGATTTAACAGAATTTTCTATGTCAATGTCCTTTTATCAAGAGCATCTGAGTCACTGCAAATGATGTCTGAATGTGTTTTCCTACTTCAATTTGAAACTCATTTACTGAGTAGCCTCTATGTGCACTGTGTTGTGGTAGGTACTTTTGGTATTATACAGATGAGTAAGAATTTTTGGGCACAGGAAAGATGAATAAGATAGGAGGGAGGCAAATGTCTACAAAATGACAAGCACCAAAGTAAGTGCGGTAATTAAGTAAAAACCCAAGTGTCCACTGGAAGGAGAACCGTTTGACATTCCTGCGTCTCTTCCACTCTCAAAGAATAAATATTGGAAAGGGGGAGAGCATCTGGTTGAGAAATCGGTAATGGCTTCATAGAAGAGGCTGTGTATGAGATGGACTTGGATTTTGACCTGTTGACTCTAAGAACTGGATAGCATATGGAAAATAGTTGCCAGGAAGTTTAGTGTTTTGAGTCATAACAAGTGATATGCTTTATTCTGAAGGGAAACAAGATTAGTTTTTTTGATATTTGTAGTGAAAATGGGGCCAAAATTTGTAAATTTTTTTTTAAAATTCTTAGGTTCACTATCTTTTTCCCTGGAATTTTATTTTAAGTGTAATTTCAGTGAGTCTTTTTTTTTTCATTGAAGACTATTATTATTATTATTTTAACAAAAAATGTAATTGTGAGGTACATATTATGTTATTTACTGGATATCTTTGAGGAGTTTTGATCTCTAGGCTAAATATTTTCTTAAATTTTTTGGTTATTTTTGAACACTCTCCGAAATGACTCTCAAAATCACTACACCCATATATTTTTTTCTTGTTACAATTGAGAACCCCTTGTTAATTTTTCTATGCCCGGGGCTATATCAAAAGTAGCTACAATTTTTTCTTGTTTATCACTGGCTGAATATATCAATATTTTTCAGCTGCTACCAGTAGGCATCACTCATTTCCCACATAATGGAATAACTTCACTGTTTATTTAGGGCAGCCAAAAAGAGTAGCCTGATATTTTAGAGATGTATCCTGAAGAATTCATGGCTGAACTATCATGATGTCTGTGATTTGTTTTAAAATAGAGTCAAAAAGACGCCATGCTGCAGTCTGGAGTTAATAATAATGCACAGGCGTTAATTTCCTACTTTTGACAAATGTATCGTGGTATGTAAGGCATTAGCTTTAGGGCAGACTAGATGAAGAGTATGTGGGAACTCTCTATACTATCTTTATACCTTTTCTGTAAATTTTAAATTATTCCAAATTAAAAAGTTTATTAAAAAAATGGACAGGGGAAATGAAGGAAAGGAAATATGGCAAAAAGTTGAAAATGGTTCACATTGGTTGAGGGTTCTGTGCTCTTCTCTTGGGTGAGCAGCGCTTTGGACGTCTCCCTCGCCCGTGTGTGGGTGTGAGAGCAGGGGGCTGCCCAAGCATGGGCTTCTTTCCTCTGTTGTTCGCGTGACCTTTGGTGACACAGTGGTTCCCAGCACAGCATTCTCAAGACTGTCCCCTTCCTTAGAGGAAAGAGCATGAATGATGTGACTATAAGCCTCACGATGAGTTATGACATAATTCAACTGTAATGTGCAATCATAAAAGAAATGCTAGAAAATTGATGTTGTGGGGTACAATTTTTTTAACAGCCTTCTCTCACCAATTGTCCAGAAGCTTCTTTCCTGGGCGGGAAATTTAGAATAAGCCATCAAAAACGGGGAAATAAAAGTATATATTAATAGAACAGTGACGTTAGGAATGCTGTAGTGAGTCTGGTTCTCTTCCTTAATAAAAGGGAAAACTCGACTAGCCAATCATGCATGTGAGGAGAATATAAGAATATGATTAAAAAAACAAAAAGTTTTTTTTTTTCCTCTCCTTTGTCTCTCAAATGTGGCTCTAGTGAGTGAAGGCCAAGGAGAGAAGACTAAAAGGGGACTTGACCAAAAGATTCAGGAAAGTAAACTAGTTTCATATATGGTCGTATATGAATGTCTTGATCTGCTCTTCAGTAAAAACATGTTCTTAGATTGCCAACAAGCACAGGTTCTGGTGTCTAGGCATTCTCCCAGCCTGTACCACAGGTGAGTCACTTAGATGCTGTCTGTGTTAGATACGTGATGCCGACTGGGGTTCCTGTCATTAGCACTAGCTAGCTGGAGTTTGTCCAGTATCTACCCTGTTATAGGTGTAAGAGGCACTTTTTAGTGCATTTTCTCCTTTATTGTTCTCTTCAAACTCAGAGAATGTATTGTAAAATTGTGGATAGGAGTCGTCTTTAGGGTTCAAGCTTCAGAAAATAGTTCTCAGTGCAGAGCTAAAAAATGAGTCTGGAATCAAACTTGTTTTGTTAGCTTCCAGGAACACCATTTCTTTCTTTCTTTTTCTTTCCCCATCCTTTGAGATCATTTATTTTTATTGAGGTAATGTGGATTGATAACATTCTATGTTTCACGTGTACAACGTTATATGTCTACTTCTATATCCACTACAGCCGCGGTCCCCAACCTTTCTGGCACCGGGACCGGTTTCACGGAAGACAGTTTTGCCACGGATGGGGTGGGGGAATTGCTCAGGCGGTAACGGGAGCGCTGGGGAGCGGCGGATGAAGCTTCGCTCGCCTGCCCGCCCCTCACCTCCTGCTCTGCGGTTCCCGACAGGCTGCGGACCAGTAACAGTCCTCGGCCTGCGGGTTGGGGATCCCTGCCTTACAGAGTGCTCACCCCCCAAAATTTAGTTTCCCTCTGTCACCATACAGTTGATCCCCTTTACCCGTTTCATCCTCCTCCCCAGTCCTTCCCCTCTGGTAACCACCACTCTGTTCTCTGTGTTTGTTTTTGTTTGAGGAATACCGTTTCTTAATCATTGCAGCTAACGCAAATGCATTACCAATTGTTTTAATGTCGACTTTTGTAACTGAAACAAAAAAAAAAGATACAAAGCCTTAGGTATGCTTGTCTAAACTTCTCAGCCTTCTTTTCCCTAAATAAGTATTTTATTTATTACCAACTATTGAATCCATGCTGCATTACTGGCATTTGAGAGAATTTGATCAACGGGTTGTGACCCTGAGAGTAGAGTCACCCATTCTTTAAACTGCCGGCCCTACATGGGGTCAGACTCATCTTCAGGACCTGGCTGGCACCCATCAGCCCAGCACGTGCTGCATTTCTAACAAGGCCTTGCTATGTGGTGTCGGCCTGTCTGTCTGAAGACCATGTGACTGGTGCTATTTTTCCATACCTTTGATGTGAGTTCCAAAACAGTAGTTTTAGCAGTTAGTATAATTTAACAACCCCCCTTGAAAATGTTATGGGGTCTATTTCATATTGCTACAAAATAATACTAAGGAATCACTGGATTTGTCATTATTGACAGTAGAAAATCTTTATTTATAGCCTACAGGTAGAATATAAGGATATATAGTTCATTAAAAACTATCCATGTATTTCCAAGCCTTTTTAAATTAAGCTTAAAAAAAAAGCTTAAGAGAATTTCAAGCTATTGTGGTAGGAAACAATTAGCTATTAAAAATTGGAGTAGTGAGCTAAAAGGTTACCATTTTTGAAGTGATGGATTAAAACAAAATCAGGCACAGCCCAGGTGGTTTCACTTAACAAATAAGCTGGCTTTTTTTTTTTTTTTTTTTTTTTTTAACCGATCTAAAGGACTTTAAATCGTATTGCTGAAGGGCTTTCTGGAAACTGACATGGAGATTATTTTGCATATTTCTATCAGGAAGTCAGTTCCAGGCCTTTAAATGAATACCGCATGAATACTTCAGTCTGTGTCATAGAGGCCATTTAGATTTCAAGGATATTGCAGGGTTTATGTCGGTGCAACAAGACGTTTTAGTTTTTTGTACAAACGTTTGGGTTAAGGAGCATCGACAACCACGAGAGTACTGCTTGGCTTGCATTTAGAAACAGGGTTTCTCAGTGAACCAAGCCACATTTGCTAGCTGCCTGTGTTTTTACTTATGGAGGCTCTTTCTTCCCCTCCTTCCCAGCAGTTTTGTACACTCAATTGTCCAGTAAGGCAGGAAGAGATAGCGTGAGAAAATCCCATATTTTATGCATTGTTTTCACCACCTGATTTTTCTTTCTGAGCCTTGGTCTCCTTATGTGAAGCAAACGTCTCCGTGACCTTTAAGCGGAAAGCTTTTGAGAGGTGATAGTACAGGATCGGATCAAAACACAGGTTGGACACAGCCAGCAGCAGTGTGGCCTCCTTGGCTTTGAAAAGTGAAATCCTGGTGGAGCAGTCAGATATGACCTCTGTCTGGCTGAGGGTGTATGGGATTCGGACAATGTGATAAGGAACAAAACATATGATGTAGCCTGTAGTCACCAAAAGTATATTGATGAGAGCTCTTTTCACGTTTGGATAATTTTCATTATCTTTGTTTCTGTAGAGTTGTCGAATGACAAGGCAGTTAGATATTAAGATGATGGCTGAGAAATTGAAGAATATTGCTATGCATATGAAATTTGTCAGCAAATGCCAGTTTCTTCCAAACTCCTTTTTGAATTCCACGCAACCCACGTTGGGCTTTTCCTTCATGTCTTTGATGGGAATTACCATGTTTGGCACCATTATAAGAAGGACCATTAACCATACAACAGTCGATATCATTTTGGCAAATCCAGGTTCTTGTATTCGATAAATCTTGCAGCTGTATGTCAACTGAAGACAGCGATCAATGCTAACAAATGCTAGGAAGATAATTGATAAGTACATATTAATGTAGATGAGGCAGGCTGTTACTTGGCAGTGGAATATCCTCAGCTTCCAGGGGGCCACGCCCAAGTCGACAGTGATTTTTACTGGTAATGCCAGAGTAAGCAGGAAGTCGGCTGTAAGCAAATTAATTAAGTATATGCTTACACACCTGTGATTTGTGTTTTTCTGTATGAAAGCCCAGGCTGCAAAACAACTTCCAATAATTCCAACAAGGAAAACTAAATAAAAAAAATATGTGAACGGCTCCAGGTCTCTGTAAACTGGGCAGAAGGTAGAACTGTTGGTCATCCTTACTTTCCCTCAAGATGACGCTGTCCCCCCACCATAAAAAAAAAAAAATCCAAAGTATCTGTTAAAATAGAAAAGAAAGGGGAGAGAAGGGAGGTTAATAATTCAAATTGGATATTATTTTCTTCAAGCACAATTGCATTCACAAAACCACGGTCACAGTCTCTCTGCCTCTTAGAATTGTATTGGTGAACTTACTAGATTGTGTGGACTGGTGGGACCATCTTAGATTATGAGGAAGCCTGGGTTTTCCATGGTCTGATTTTATGATTTTGGGAAATCCCGCGTAGGTTGCTTCTAGAAAAGATATTTTTGACTTCACACTTTTGCATTCTGATAGCTCTTTTGTTATCAGTTGGGTTGGAAGTTAGTTTGCAGAGGAGATAAGTGAACTGAAATTCTGAGAAATAGAGAGAGGAAACAAAAAAGGTTTGGTTGTGGCTGAGCCTGAAGAGCCTCTCAATGAGGCTTCCTGGCTTTCTGTTCTCATAGATTGACAGAGCTCTTCATGCTAGCGGAACCTAGGCTGGAACCTAGGGGAGGTGAGGAAGGACAGAAAATTGTACTAAAATCTGAAAGATTGTATCTAAAAGGTAGGCCTTTTATTGTGTAACCCACTAGAACATTTTCACAATGAGAATTTCATTTCGTTTTTCTTTTTTTGGCAGAAAAAGTTGTAGGATTAGACTCTGGTCTTGCCTTGTTGCGCTAGATTTATGATGGTACAGACCTGTGCTATCCAGTTTGGTAGGCTGCAGCCACCTGTGACCATTAAGCCCTTGAAATGTGACCAGTACAAATTGATGTGTGCTGTAAGTGCAAAGTACCCACTGGGTTTTAAAGATTTAGTGTAAGATATTATAAAGAATAGTGCAAGTAGTAAAATTGTACTATTTTATGCAAATAGTACAATTAGTAAAATATGTCTTTAATTTTTATATTGAGCACATCTTGAAATGATATTTTTGATATATTAGGTTAAATATATTATTAAAATTAATTTAGCCTGTTTCTTTTTGCTTTTTTAAGTGTAGCTGTGAGGTAATTTTAAAGTACCTTTGTGGTTTGCTTTATATTTCTCTTGAACAGTGCGTGTATAGATGTTTCCATGTTTCCATGTCAGTGTTGGTGAGAAGTTTGACTAAGAACGTATTTTAAAGGCTTCTAGGGCAAGGGTGTATGATCATTGGTTACACTGTTCTCAAAGAGAAGCTCAGTTATATATACAGATGTTTGAAGACATCTAACTTTAACATTTGAGGTTTTTTTTTTCTTCTTCTTCTTCTTCTTCTTTCATTGTGGGTTTTGCAGCACTCAGGGCTAGAAGTTTAAGACCTGCCCTTAGAACCGTTGTGATCATCACTGATGGTGACAAAATCTTGTCACGTTCCCTTCAAATCTGGAACATTGGGTGATTTATAGCGCAAGTTAAAACAAACTGGGTATCATTTATTCCCTTTGACCTGGTCTAGTCAAACTCATGCTCTTTGGGCCACAGGTATTCTTCCTGGTGCTACTTCCTGATAAACACCCTCCTCATGCATCTTAAACACCTTTCTTCCTTTGTTTTAATAATCAGAAGATCGCTTTTGTGTTCTGGCAAGAAAAAATTGATATGTGGCTTGTAAAAATAGCAAATAGTAAGTATAGTGGCTATGAAGGCCAAACAAGCCCATTCTCTGAAACGTCCTTTTAAAAAACAAACAAGAACTTCAGAAGCCTTTCTGAATCTTAATTCTCCTAATTATTTAATGATCCATTATGTACCTCTTGGGGTGAAACAGTATGCAAGTGGATGGATAAGGCAGATGTACATAAAGCTTTCTAAGTTAAAGTGACATTTAAAGGGTATACGTCCTTCGCCTTTCCGTACCTGAGATAGGACTTGAGGGTCCATGAATATTGTCATTCTGTACTAAACTCAATGAAAGTAATCAAGCACGTACTTTGTGTCTGGCACCATGCCAAGTACTTTACACGTACTTATTTAACCTTTCATTATTTCTATCACGTAGATGTTATTATCCCTGTCTTACAGATGAGAAAACTGAGGCACCACAAGGCTAACACTCAGGGTTATATAGCTGGTAAGTTATAGAGCCAGGAGTCGCACCCAGACAGTCTGATCTCAGAAGCCATGTTCAAAATCACTTCGAAACTTTCTCTCAATAATAACAACAGTAATAATGATGTTGATTATTATTATTGTTTGGAGTAACAATTTTAAAATTCTCTTCCCATATAGGTCATTACAGAGCACTGAGTAGAGTGCCCTGTGCTATACAGTAGGTCCTTATTAGTTATCTATTTTATATATGGTAGTGTGTGTATGTCAATCCCAATCTCCAAATCTATCTCTTCCCTTCCCCCTTGGTAACCATAAGTTTGTTTTCTACATCTGTGACTCTATTTCTGTTTTGTAAATAGGTTTCATTTGTACCTTTTTTTTTTTTAGATTCCACATAGAAGCAATATCATATGATATTTGTCTTCCTTGTTATTATTATTATAGTAGCAAACCTTTACTAAGTGCTTACTATTGGGAGGAACTATAGTCTAAGCAATTTTCATGTAAAAGAGCAGAAATAAAGTATTCATTCATTTTTCCTAAATACTACTAAAAGATGTTTAGGCTCCATGTGTTTTGATGTTTCATTTTACAGTACATGTATTTAAAAACCAAACCTAGCTTCTATCTTTTAAGCCTAAACCTCCTTTACTTTCAAAATTCCTGTGACCTAGTCCCTCCGTATCATCCACACTCTCTTCCTCCCAACTCTCTACTTTAGGTTGGTGGGATCTCTACGGTTCTGGGAGCTCTTCCTTCCTTCCTTCCTTCCTTTGTACTTTTCGTTGTGATACAATTTGGGGATCGTAGGATTCTAAGGATGGAGGGAACCTTTATTAATAGCATCTGGTCCAATCCCCAGATTTGAGGAGACTGAGGTCTAGCACTTGGGTGTTGGTCAAGGTTTCCCGGCTCCTTAGAGCAGGCTAGGATCCGACCTTGTTGATTATTCCCTAGACTCTCTGCCTTTATTCTTCCCAGCTCCAATCCTGCCTATCCTAAATGCCTGAAGGAAGCTCTTCAGGTCTGAAGTCTACTCTAGGCTTTACTGAATTCCTTATGACTTGACTTTTAATAGTAACCATTTATTTAGTACCTGGGCGTTCTAAACGTCTTTTTTGTTCTCTGGGTCAGAAGCTAGTGTTGGTGTAGATGGACCCTCATCTCCCACCTTTGCTCACTGTTCCTTTACAAAGTGCTAGGATTTTGGCCTATGCTGTTGTATTGCAAATGCTACATTATAAGAGAACTAACATATTATGTGTTTCTCTGAGTGCCCCTTTTGCTCATACAATTATAAAGTCTCATTTTATAGATGAATATGTGGTAAAGAGAAGGATTAGAAAATAATTTGTTTTGATCAATTAATATACTATGTAACTGGAACTGACCATATATACCACTCATGGGTAATTTATTTAAAAATAATTACAGTGTAACTGTTCATTCGATAATGCTTGAGAGGCAGTGCCTCGCCGTCGCTTTTCTTGAACCTCAGTCTAGATTTCAATGAAACACAAATCTCTTTATTTAAACATTTTGGTCTTATCAAGGAGAGGTTAAATTGTACTATAATAACATTCTGTGTTTTCTACCATGAATTTGAAAACTAAGTGCTTCATGAGTATTTTTTCAACCAGTTATTAGCCTGTGGACATCTGAGGTACCCAGATGTATTCCAGCAAAATCAAGAAAAGATTTCAAGTGTCTCCTTTGTTTGAGACTGCCCATTGCTTAGAAACTCATTAGATATTTTTTTACGGAAGTCACAATGGAATTTTCTTGAAATTACCTATCGTAATGTTTGTAGAGACCTGTTGTGCCCTGTCGTGAAGACCTACAACAATGGCCTTTATCCATCCAGTTATAAAATCGAGTTACTGAATAGTTAAGCTTACCTATAAGTAAGCAGTATTCAGTCTTGTCTGAATTAAGCTGTCTTTCTGAAAGGGATGGATGAGGTCATCAGGAAGAAGAAAATTACAGCGTAGTTCACGGTGAGAATCCATTTGGAGTTTAATAATTGGTGCCTTCTTGCACAGCAACCTTATTACATGCTGGCATTTTCAACTTACATGGTTTAAGCGCTGAAAATCATAGATTTCCCTTCCATGGAAAGACATTTGGATATATTAAGTATTTAAAAAGACATACCTGGGGGTATATTCTCTGAGCCTCAGCTCGCCTTGCTCCCAGTCTGCAGAGAAGCGTGAGCTGTTTGGCTAGCTACAGCGGTAGCAGCCTCATTGCAGGACTGCTGGCTGCGCTAACAATTTCCTTTCCTTTTTATGTGGTTTTAAAATGCTGCATATTGACGTAGATGAAACTGTGGTTTGCACATAGCTTAACTGTATGGAAGCCTCTTCAAGTCCTTTTCAATTTGGTGTAAGCTTTCTTAAACAATTCAGATTCGTCTCTTCTTTTAGAGGGAAGATTTTTATTCGTCTGTTGTAATACCTAGGTGTGATTTTTTGTTTTGAAAACACCCCAGATGTGTATTTCGTCATAATGATTTTAAAGAATGTCAATCTTTTGTGCCTTGAATGGTGTTGTGAGTTAAAGATATTAGGTGTTTAAGCAAAATTTCTTTAGTATACATACTGATACTCATCAGTCTTTCAGAGTTATAATTTAAAAGATGGTTGCAGTTTGGATCCTGCTGAGACGTCTATTAACAAACAAAAACGATATGGTCAAGTTTATGTTGTTAAATCTGGAAAGAGAAGAGGAAAATCATTATGTAGAGAGATAATCATTGTTAACGTTTTTGGTACATACGTTTTAAAATTTTTCTACGTGTATACCCACTTAAAAATGTTATTATGTTGTGCATACTGTTTTATAGTTTGTAATCTTTTTATTCAAAAAGATATTGGATCTGTTTTTCTCAGTTATGAGAGTAAACCTGGGGTGCGCATTTGTCAATTTGGCCACAACGGCATAATGAATTGAGACAGGTGTTTAGTAATTAATAGATTCTATGAAAAGGGAAGCTCCAGTGTACATTTAAATTGTTTGGGTAAATGTTCATTCTTCCTGTGGGGGAGTGAGTGTGCCGGTCCAAAGGTGATTTGTTAAGTGCAAAGCCATTGCCTGATCACTTAGGATCTGGGTTTTTCTATTGCTTCATTGTCTTGGAGGGTACTTTGGTTTCATCTCTTTTTCTCTCAATAATTCTTAGTTTTCCAAATAATAAAGAAAAAAGTCAGAAGAAACCTCTCTAGAATCTAAAATGCCTCCCTTTTGGTATTCACTTTGCTAAGGAAAAATCTCTCAAAAGACTGAATGAGGACTGTCAAGCTGGAGGGAATTTAAGGAGGATCTAGGGAACTTTTGAAAACAATAATGTGTCAAGACGCTTACGATGACAGTGTCCATTTGTTTCTGATACTCCGATGTTCTTTCGAATTCAGGTAGTTATTGTTATTACTGTATTTTGCAAAAGAATAACTTTACATATATTCACTCAAAAATTGGAGGAAGAAACCCAAATCTTTCTCAAACTTTGTATTTGGTTTTCGTTAGGAACCAATGTTAACTTTCATCGTAATAGTGCTGGGAAACGCTCTGTCTTTTAAGATTTGTGTGCGTCACATTGGATAGAACTCACTTCTGTCCACTTCAGAAAAGACATGCCTGCAGACAGTCAAGTGAAGTGAGCAGTTACGACCACAGTTTACACTCACAGGGGGATGGAGAGGGTGAGATGGGAAGAATTCGGTG